ACTCCTAGTTACGGGTTGGCAGAGAGTTAAGAAAGATATGGCATACTGCAGCTTCAAGGAACCCATAACAATAGACATACAAGGATAGAAGACCAGAATAAGAAAGATGGATAGATGGAATAAAGTAACGCAGTATATGGTCGATCTCTATTGGGGATACCTCGCGGGAAGACTTTCTACAGGAAGCTGGACTCTATTTAGCTGTTAGACATGTGAAGAAAACACGGAAAACTCCATGCGACCATTCATTGACAAGGCGATTAGTGTTCGATGATTTTATCCACTTGATCACTGGTGGGTACAGAACAAGAAAAATCCTGACCCCACATATGGGAAACAGGAGGAGAAGGATTTATACACTAAACTCTATGTAATTTATCGTTATATCAAGGGAGTTTTATATTTAATATACTCATTAAATTGTATGGTATCGTATTTTTAAATTGGATGAAATCAAAAAATATGATTTACATTTAACAATAACGAAGATAATATTTGTTTTATTCATTCAGTTAACTTTTCTTCGTAAATTTGTTAATATACGTGTATGAAAGAATATATAATTTTTATGTATAGCATAAGTTATCATCAAAAAATAAAATCTAGACGAAACTAGAAAAAAACATTCATATTTCTTTAATAATGATTCATAGATTTTGACATTTTACGTTATCAAAAATGTTTCTTCAACCAGAAAAAAAAGGAAAACGAATCAATAATAAAGTGGGCCTATCCGAAATCGATGATAATATCAAATAAGAATGCTAAAAAAATGTATTAATTCTTATCCGTTTACGAAATCTTCTAATATGATGAAACAAGAGAAAAGTATTAGAAAAACTTGTCAATGATTCACTTCTATCGTCTGTAACTGAATCACGCATTAAAATAGATGTCGTTAACTAATCCTCGATATATCCTAACATATAGATAAAATTAAAGTAAAATTAAACGGTATATATATTTTTTTTTTAAAGAAAGAAAGTATACTTTTTAATATTTAATGTCATTAAATTTTATCCTCTCTTTTCAATCTAAGTAAATTGTTACTATCAAATTTCTAATCCCTAAATTACAGATGTCCTAATGCCAAACTTGGTTGTATTTGACTGCTATGTATCTCTCCGTTGGCTCCGTTTAGCGTTAAAGAAGTATTTTAATTACGATCGCTTTGAATATAGATGATATGCCTATAGTAAATAAACCTAATTTTAAATGATGTTGGTTCAATAAAAACGAAGTAGTCTAACGACACCCTTATCTGAATTATCCACGAAACTATCATAGAAGTCCAGATCAAACAAGGTGTAGGATTCCTCATAGTAATAGGACGTATGGTAGAGCAGTAAGATGGAAATGTGAAAAAAAAAGACTTTCTTTCTTGATTTAAGTTTGCAATGAAATAAATAATATTACAATACAGTATATATCCTCTTTTAACAAATTTATTATAATATATGCTGAAACATAAATAAAATTCCAAAAATATTTTTCTACTTATTTTCTTGAAAACTTTTTCCGAAATTCTTAATTATATATCAGTTTAAAAGAAAGGAAAATTTTAAAATTATTTTCCTTCAATAAAAAATAAAATTATCTTGAAATTTTTTATCTACAAAGAATTTGAGTGATGCAATATGTTCAGCAATTATTGTTACACGCCAAAAACTAAAAGGGAAAAAGATCGAGTTTATTTCAAATAAGAATCAAACTTTTTTATCCCGATTAAAAAAATCTACGTTCCTTGTTACGCTCGTGCGCAGTTAAAATCTTACTGTTCAAGGATATGTGAACATTTAAAACTAAAAAAAGAAAAATCAGTATTAAGGAGAATTAGCATAAACATACAAATTTGAATAATCTGAAAACGAAATCAAACTTTTAGAAAAATCTTAATTGAATAATTTTTATTCCACTTAATTGTAAGCATGTGTATCGTCTCAAATTTTCCGACAGATTTTACAATATTGAAATTTTTAATTTGTTTTGTGCTTTTCGTCAGGCTTACTTTAATGAAAATTGATAGTACAATTTTTTTTCTTCCTTGTCCTAAATTTCCTATCAATCTGATATTGTTTGCGTTGCTTTCAGACATTAGCATTTAAGACTGTCACCGTGTTTTGGTTTTATACATTAATCTTCGTATTTACTAAAGTTTATTTAAACATATTTTAGGTAAGTGTTATTAAACTTTTTTTAACCATAGGTATTACTTACCTACGAATGATTACTTCATTCATACAAATGACGGACGAAATACAGCTGTATCTCAGTACTCAAACAATTCTGTATTCGAACACAAATTCTAGAGAAAAATCGCTCGATACTCGACTGAATAAATGAGAACCATCTAGAACAAATTTTCGATTAATAACATTCTTTTATGATACAATAAAAAATAAGTAAAATGAAGACGTTGCTGATATTTTTGACCAAGATCAACAAAAATGCTCAAAAGACGATGATACTTTGTAAAAAGAAAACGCCCTGGTTTAACTAAAATTAATATTAACGCGTAATACAGTACTTATAATTGTGATTTTTAGTTTATTATTGATTGGAAATAAATTATCGATTGCTTTAAAAAACATATTTCTCTTACTAACGAAAAACAATAGTATACTTTTGTTAACTTTTGGAACTAACTCCATGTTTTGTATTAGTCCTTTGTTTCGTATAGCACGGATTTGCATAACACAACACTTTTTCGAAATGTAATTACCGTGTTATCCGAGGGATATCTGTACTGTTGCAGGCTTATAAAAATGGTAATAAAAAATTATATAGCCTTTATTTTTTCGTAATAACATTTTTAGATATTTTCTCTGCTAGACGAACATTAATTTTATGATGATAATGCATGAAAATAATCTCCTTCATTACCAGATATTATTGTTCATCTATTCAAACGTTTATTGTATAGTGTTTTATACAATAAATCATTATTATTATAAAATATTGTTTTCATAATAAGTCGACCCCCTATAACACTGTTGATTTTTCCGTTTTATATGAATTCCATATTGTACGAGTCACTTAGATTTTACAAATACGTGAGTCGTTCACAGCCTGGCATACGTATTTGTAAAATCTAAGTGACTCGTACAACATGGAATTCATAAAAAACGGAAAAATCAACAGTGTTATAGGGGGGTCGACTGGTACAACATATGTACATAATTATTTTTTCCGCCCTATGATGGTTATTTTAGTATGTTTATTATGTATTCGATCAGGCCCACAATGAGGTACCAGTGGCGAGAAACGAGGATCGGAACAGACCACTTGTCGAAAACTGGGATTCCTCAACCTGTCAGGATTCAGATACCGTTTTGAATCCGGATGGGTCAAAAAATCCCCAGGAATTTTTCGAGGAGTGGTCCGTCCGGATATGTTGGGCCTCCCTCACCATCCGGCAGCCCCATTGTGGGCCTGTCCGAACCAAAAATGGACTTGCTAAAAGAGGCCCTCTTAGTGCCCACAGGACAGTTTAAAAAATTTACATCGACCTATTTTATATTTAGACAGTTTAGATTTTCATCATGAAATTATTGTAATATTGAATCTAAATATTTTTCAAATAATGCTAAAAAGATACTGAGGCCGCTGGGAGGGCGAGACGGTAAAGGCGCCAGCCTGCTCTGTGGGGAACCGGGTTCGAGCCAGGTCAGGAATATCAGACAATTGATTACGAGCGATCTGTCCTGGATATGTCAGGCTCGTCCCTCACCATTTAGTCGCCACCATTAAAATTGGTGAATTGTGATTGACTCTACATCATTTCTTTGCTAAGGGGCCCATTTTACAAGAACCCAGCGATGGAATTTTAAAATATGCTGAAGCAGTTTTTTTGAAAATGGGATTGTTTTCTCTTTTAATGTTTTAAAAGTTTTCATATTTATTTAATCGGTTATTTTTTACGCTTTAAAAAAATCACTTTCAATCAGAATAATCTTCAAATCTACGAAAATTATTGGCAGTTTCTTTTACTCTGGATAAATTGCTATAAGAAAACCGTTTCCTACTGAATTGTTCACTTCGTAGTTACATTTCTTCTACATCACAACTTTTTAAAAAATACTTTCCATTTGACATGTTATTTTTCATGTTTCTGTGGTCTGGTCAAGCTGCAACAAAGCAGCCGGCAGATAAGAAACTGGACCAAATTATGAAAACTTCTGAAGCTTGGAACCGCACTCAAAAAGGAGTGTAATATTTTGTCAATTCGGCTATTCTGAAATGTTTTATAACTGGGACGCTTAACGCGAAAATTTTGCCGAATACATCAAGACTGATGCAGGATACAGTAAACGATAGCGAAACAATGGAAAAATTATAATTTATGGTATTCCATAAAAAATTCAGTCTTAAATATATCAATACTTTCATGGCCGTCCGAAGCTATTATGGCATATTATGTAATAATTTCCCACCCGTTCACTTTAGTTTCTCATAGCAGTGATGAACGAGAATTATGGGCGCTTCTATATGGAAAACAAACGTTGCTTACTGCTAAGAAGCACCCATGATTTTCAGTGTTAATTACAATATATGTTAGATTATCCCCCGTTTTTGTTTTACTTTTGAAGTAAGACTTCATCAAAATTTTCTCTGAGAAAATTCGAATTGTATTTCTTCAATTTTAATTATGCTACCATTAGTTGATATATTCCTGTAAATTTTACGTAAATGTATTCATTAAATCACGTTTTTACACAATAATGTTATTTAAAATACGTGATAATTTCTCATTAATTAATCAAAAAATATTTGCAAGTACAATATTTTTAAATTTTTGAGTTTTAGGAACATATCACTGGGATTGATTGCAAAGTTATGAGTTTCATATTCAGTTTTAGTATAAATAAGGTCTTAACAAAACTTAGAAAACAAGTTTTCAATGATATTTTAATTAAATTTGAGAAATTTAGTTGTATTTAAATATAATAAAACAAGACACAGACAAAACATTTGAAATAATTGTATATATTATGCACATGTACAATGTGTAATGACATTTTTGCATTTACCATAAGCTTGCTGTACATTATCATAGTCATATTCATAGTACAATTCAAAATATGTTAAGAAAACAATCAAGATAAAATGAAAAACGTTTGAATAATAATTTAAACATTTACAGCACACAAAAAATACTTCAATAATTATATTAAAGCAAAAATAAAACATCACAATGTAATCTGCTTTCTAAAACAGCTGCAACTTAACATTAGCTTTATATTAAAAGTATATAAAAGACAACTACCCTATAATCTTTTTTTTTTGTTTTTTTTATGAATTAGAGAAAAATATCTCAACTACATTTTCAATTGTACATTTTTCTACAATATAGATTCTTGACAGATAGATCTTGGCATATATCATTCTTAATACATTCATTTCCTTAAGAAATTCTTCTAAAATGGAAGGAAATATATAACATTGGACAACCTAAGGGTTATAAAACATGTTGACTTAAGTGTATAAAAATCCATACTATGCAAAAACATAGGATTTTATTTTTACAGACATAAACATGTACACATGATAGTATAAAATTAAGAGTTAAAATAATATTTGTATACAAAGTGTCCCATAAGTTTGGCTCCCACTGGAGTTGATATGTTTATTCTTTTACAGATAAAGCATGGTGCCCAATAAGGAGGAATGAATTCAAGTTGTTTTGATGGTGGGGTTTGCAGTTAGCATGAAGTTGCCAAAAAGTTGACAGGATATATCAAGACTTCCCACAGATCACATACAATGATCTGATTGAATGGTCTTTTAAACTTCACACTGACTAATGGTCCTTGTCAAAATAACTTGAACTCATTCTTATTTATTTAGTGTCATGCTTCATGCTTCACCTGTAAAAGAATAAATAAGCATCAACATAACTCCTACAGGCCTGGATTTATGTGACACCCTGTATATTTATATATATGGTATATATACATATGTATCTGTACCATATATAATATTTTACATATAAATTTAAGCTCTTTTATTATACATTACTAATAGGTTTTTTAAATTAAAACATGACAAACAGAAGAATTATGCATAGTTGATTTAGGCAGGAAATCCGATAAAATTAAAATTTAGATTTTACTCTTTTGGAATCAACACATTGTGCAAGTTAACTTAAAGGAAATGGAAGTCATATCAAAATTATTCAAAATTATTTCGACCATACCAAATCTTATTTAAATAAATATATAAAAGTGATAGAAAATATTTGTATAAAATTGATTTTCACATTCATATATGAAGATTTTATCAGATCTGACTGTAAAAAACACACAAATATTTGTAACTTTTTGGTAATAAATTTATAAATTCAGCAAAACTAAATTTTGTCACAGGACATTTTTTAAACTTTTTAATTTAAAAAAATAATAAATATATTTTTACATTAATTAATATTCAAAATTTCATTATTATTGTTATTATTAATTGAACAGTCCCCAATCAATAGCAATGCTATACAGGTAACAGTCTGTTTACAGCAAATATTCAGTTATTTATAAAATTTTTATTCAGTTTTTTAATGTTTAACTTGGGCTTGTGCACATTTTTCTTAATAAAACTGATTCTAAATTTTTTTTAAATTTATTCTTTAAGCTTTTGACTAAAGGTTGGGGACATTCTAAAATATTTGGCAAACATAAATTAATATTTGTACTATTCTGTAATTAAAAATAAAATGAGCATTCTTTTAAAAAAACTAAAATAAAATATTTTATAGTAAACATTACTTTAGCTACACTATACTATTTCTAAGTAGTATATTACTTAAATAATTAAATATGGATAAATTATATTTGGCATTATTTATTCAATTCTAACATACTGAATAAATTAAAAACAGATAATTAAAATAAAAAATAATTATAAATATAAATGCTTTTTAGAGTCTTTTAAAAAAGAAATTGAATATTCTTTATATAAATCCCTTGTATTGAAAAATATCCTTCCAAAAATGTGTAAACAATACTGTTATCCCACTTCTCTTTCTGTAATTGTGCCTAAAAGTTATCTTTAAAACATATAAAAAAAAACAAAGAAAACAAACTAATATAGCTGGAGTTCTCAGCTAACATAACTATTTATATATATAAAAAAATACAGCACAAAATTTACAAGGCACTCTATAACTATTTTATTTTTAAAAAATTACAGTTAAAATAAAACCAATAGGGCATTGTTTTTTTATTAAAATAAATTTTAGTTCTATTTCTTTTATTTGTGTGTGTAGATATATATATATTATACTTGTATTATATATATATATATATATTTAAAAGCAAAGAAAATGACTAGTGAAGATGACTCATTTGAGATTTCTGGAATAAACATGCAACTATACTGACTAGCACAACAGCTTTAAATATAACAAGAAATGGATAAAAACATCCAAATCTAACTAGATAAAACCTTTGGCAAAACTATATACAAGTAATAGCATTGTCAACTGTCAATTGCTATTAAAACATTTTATATAGAGTACTGCAAAAAACCAAGAATCTTGGTGCAATCCAATTTAATTGGAGAAAAACATCTTACTTTTTAAAAGTTAAATGCATTTATACTATCGCATATTTTTTACTATCTGAACTAGAAGAATCAATTTTCTTTTCTTGGAACTGCCGTTTTGCTTTTAGTTGATCGAAGGTATCTGCTTTGTGTTGTAGAATGTAGGGTCTGTCTGGAATGAGATACAACACTTTCCATGGAACGAAAATGTCGGTTGGAGGAAATTGGTCTAGGCAGTGATGGTCTGCCTGAAGTATTTTTGTGATCTTTTATGGAATGTTCAATTTTTGGTATGCATTTACCACTTGTGGTATTTTGATAGGGAGATGAACGCAGAGATCCACCAGATTGACTACGTTCTCGAGATGGTACTCCTGATGGTTTTTGAATCGAAGACTTATGTAAACCAGTTGGCCTTGTTCTGGAAGTAGGTAGTTTTGGTGAGGTACATTCTGTAACGGAAGTGGGAGCAGTTCCTCCAGTGACAACCTGTTGTTGTCTTTGTAATTTCCGAGATAATTCTTGTTCCAACATTTCTGCCTCTTGGAGACAGTGACTTACTAAACTAGAATCTGCATCAATTTCAGCCACGAGATCTTTTTGACTGTCCGGAGTGCCTGTTGCAGGCGTTAGCAAAACATCAATGGAATGTTTATTATCACAAGGTAAAGTATGGTGATAAGATTCATTATGAGAAATAGGAGATTTACAGTCATTTTTCACTGTGAAAGGAGGCACTTTGGCAACTTGACTGTTTTTGACTATATGTGTATTCATATTATCTGTTTTAATATCTCTGCAATATCTGGTTTGATTATTTCTGTCAAACTGTTTAGAAAAATTAGAAACATGCTTCACCTTCTTCTCTGGTGAATCTGTACATCTTTCAATATGGCAATTAGCTAAATAAAGAAAAAAAAAAAAAAAGGTTAATTTTAATTATATTATAATTTTATAATCTTTAAAATACTGCAATTTTTAAAATTAACATTCTATTTTTTATACAAATTATGTAATTCAAAACATTTCAAGTAAAATTTTTAAATCAACCTCAGAAATAATGCAAAATGTTCTCAAACTTTAATTTAAATAACCATAATCCAAAAAAGATGAGTTGCTGCTGTTATTATTATTATTATCATCATCATCATCATCAAAGAAAAGGAAAAATCTTTGTTTATTAAACATCAAAGACTAAGGTTAAAAATTAGATAGAAACATAATATAGAAGTAAACAATTATTTTTTTTGTATGTAATTGTTGAATGTATTTACAATTCACCAAATATGTACAATGAGAAAAGTATTTTTCTCCATTTATCATTAGCTATATATAATTTATATATAATAGAATAGTTGTATATTTACTATTAACTCCTAAATGCTTTGACCAATCAAAACTAAATTTTTCTTAGTTACTCTATAGGTTCCCACAAAAAATACAGATTACAATGAAACCAGAGCACCACACATTTCATCTCTTCAACACTATGATAAATTAAGTTTAGTGTGTTGTTATATAAATAAGCATATGTAATAATTAATGAAGGAATCACTTAATTTTAAAACATTATAATGTAGTATAACTGTTGCAGTAAAAGAATAACAGGATTTGTCTTCCATGAGAAACTATTCACATGCAGTATTGAAACAATTCAATGAATTTTCCTATAACATAACAATACTTGTCAATGATGTGATTGTGCAGATGGTATTATATTGAGAAAGAAATCTCTTAGGATGTAAAAACATGGTTCTTCTCTCACTGATGGATACAATGAAATAAAGTCAAAAATTGTTATTTACTCATTATCCTTTAACACAATACCCTATAACTCATTTATCAGTTCTTTTGCACTGGCTCTGGAGTATTTGTAATGTTTTAGGTGTTCCACCAACTGATAAATTTGGTGACCTTGCCTTATCCACTATATAATGTAATTGTTGGCCCTGTTTGTGTATCTTTGCAAATGGAAATAGTGTCAGGATGCCTGGGAAATGGATTATGGCATACTTTAACTCTAATAACCCAGCCAGTTTCATGCATGCAATTCTGTTAACTTTGCTCTGAAGGTTGGTAAGAAACTCTTCATTAGTATGTTGACACTCCATCATCCATTAGTATTGCTCCAATAAGGATGTGTAGAACAAATTTTCCTATGATATCGCTGGATATATCTACTAATTTTAATTTTGTCCATAATTTTGAGTCCTCCTCAAAATTATGGACTTCAGTATGGACATTAATTAATGGAAGAGAATAAATACTTTAGAAACATTTATTTGTCAGTTAATAATACAGAGTATACCATTGACAAATTTCACACCTACAATTTTTTTCTTAAAGACATTGGATAGATGACCACCTTCTCTACACACACAGTTTGCATGACTTAACAGGTTGCATTTGCAGGACCATATGTAACTTATATGGATGGAACCTTAAATCCAATGATGGTATTCTTTGAACACTCAAATGATGATGCACCTATAGCAAAACTACATGAAGTCAGACTGAATGCTGTAGACTTATGATAGCAACTCAAGCAGCCTCAATATTGTCTGCTATACAAGCAATTCAGGGTCTCCCCACAGATTTTTTTCAGAGACAAACCTATCTCCTCAAAATTATGGACTCATGTTAATTGCATGTGCTGATGGAATACAACAATGCCATCCTATATTCAAATGCTGATGAAATTTTTTACATTCAGCCTCTACACTGCTATTCATGTAATATGCTTCGACTGCAATGGCATAATAAGCATACTCCATGATTACTAAATAGTAAAATGTTGTTAGCAGAGTTTTATATGTCAGTTATTGCCACCTGCCTCCCACAGCTGCCACAACACATTTTAAAATTTCCCATTCTTTTGAATCGTCCTACATATGCATTAGACTTAAAACATCACTATCTAGACTTAATGAAATTTTACCCAATTACAAAATCTTTATTTTACCAAATGATATGCCAGATTTTTATCATGCTGTATTAATGCTAATTAATTAATTAATAAGCTGAAACAAACAATTTGGCTAGAGATATTTGTAGTTAAGCCACCATCACTCAATTAATTATAAATTAATTAATTTTGATTCAGAATACTCTGGAAAGTAAAGAATTTGTCTGGAGTAGGACTTGAACCTGTAACCATGTAGTTAAACTAATAAAGTAAGCAATACACCTTTAACAGTAGGTTAACATTTTTCCAATCTTACCCACTGGTAAAAGGTGTATTGCTTTACTTCATTATGGAATCTAGATAGAAAAATATCATAATCCATTTCATAGTAAGAAATGATCATTTCTCAATTATAAAAACAAAAGTTTAACAAAAGTATTGTTCTAAAAATTGATTAATATCACTACATCATTTTGTTCTGATAACAGAAACATTTTACAAAGTGTTTTACAAAAAGAAATATTTTATTATATTTTATTTTTATAAATGTTTTGTAATAAGTTCTACATAACAGATAATAAGAGTTGTGGTTTTGCAAATAAACATCTGCATAACTTTTTATATTTAGACAAATATCATAAATTGGCCTATTCAAAAACATTTTTATTTTATCACACAAATTAAATATAAATTTCACAGCATGGCACATACACTTTGGAGTCATTGGAATAAAACTTCCTATTTTTAGTTTATGCATATTTATTTATCATCGATCCAAATCAACAATAACATAAAATCATTATCATTTATATATCTACTATGATACTTATAAAGAATTTCATTCTTTAGTATTTAACTTAAAAAAAAGCAATCAAGCTTTATCATTTTAGTAAGTTTTTAGTTTCTAAATGAAACTGATTCTACTTTTTTTGGTCATCAGAATATAAAATAAAACTAAAAAGAATTTTGACAATTAATTTTACATTTAAGATAAATATCTTTATATTGGAAAAATTTATAAAAACATCCAGACACACTGTATAATATACGGCTTACTTCTAACTCCAAACCAAAATAGTGCTTAACTCAATATAACTTCTTTCTTTCACTAACGTTTTCGAACTTACAGTTCTTCTACAGGTGAAAAAAATGGACAAAATAAATAGTATTCGAACAGAGCATGCGCAAAGTAAGACGAAGATTGCACAGGTTTCCTTAGAATATTCTGTTTCAGAATTGATTTGAAAAAGATCTGTTCAAATACCATCAATTTTGTCTGTCTTTTTTTCACCTGAAGAAGAACTGTAAGTTTGAAAACATTAGTGAAAGAAAGAAAGAAGTTATATTGAGTTAAGCACTGTTTTGGTTTGGAGTTAGAAGTAAGTCATATTGGAAAAATTAACAGGAACTATAAGTTCTATTTATTACTACAGATATTTGTATACTCTACACAAAATAATAAATATTCACTACTATCTAATATGAATAAAAATACAAAAATTTAAATATTTTTTTTAGACTTTTTCATAGTTGCTTATTTACATCAAGAATTTAAATGCATAAAAATTATATTTAAAAATTAAAATATTATGAGGAAAAAATGAATGAAAATTAATTTTATATGAATGATTAAGTTAGCCAAATCTGCAAAACTGTTTTTTAAATAATCGTAATCCAGAAAATTTCTTACATTGCAAATTTAAGTATAAACTTAAAAGTACAATAATAAAACATGTTCCAAGTTGAGATGATATGCATATGTTCTATGAGTATATAAACACAAACGTATAGAATCTGGTATTCCAGAATTTGGAAACTTAAAAAGACATGTTTTAATTGAATCTACTAAATTCTGAGTTATCTGACAAAGTTTCAGCTTACTCTATCATAAAGTATATATTACAAAAATTAATTATATGAGAAAACTACAAGCAAAGTGATATATCAATAAATATTATGTCTACAATGCATTGGTCAGCTTTCTTTTCCTCAATTATCATTTACATCTAAAAATCAATTTAAAATTTTATATTTCATTAAACACAAATGCACACACATAGGATAGCCACTTAAACATCTGTCAAGAAGCAAAAGAAGTCTTTCCAGCATTGTATGAATATATGAATAAGCATATTAGTGCTGGAATAAGCATGTTGAGTATGCTTATTCCAGCACTAAATAACCAAAGGGACTCACGATTTAAGACAATTTCACATAACATAAAAACTATGATTGTAAAAGATAAAAACAATATTGCAGAAATTGACAAAAAAGTGAACTTTATTTTGTTAAAGAACATGTTCAAAATGATTGCCTATACCAACAATAAAAAAGTTGTAGATAATCAGGTATGACATTACAGAAGACACACAGCATTCCTGGTATCACCATTTCTCAGACCTGTTATATGTATCTCTCCAGTTTGCCAACATAATGCAGCACTACTGGGTATTCAACACACACTACTGTTTTTACATGACTCAGGAAAAACTCAGTGGAGTTGAGCCTGGAGAACATAATGACCGTGGAATATGAAACATCTTGGTCTGAAAATTACAGTCGACCCTCTATAACGTGCATTCCTATAACGTAGCGAAAAAATTGCAGCAACATTCGTTTAAAGGAGCTCCTAAAACGTCATCGCCGACTCGTTTCGCGACAAGATTGATAGAATCTGGACCAATAGTGGATGAGCAGCCGAACTACTTTCCTCCGCCCTGCGCCACGCTACGGAGAGGTTAGGCGGCTAAATTGAGTTTGCTATCGTCTGTACAGTATTATATATAAATTAGGTACTGTACATATAATTATATATTAATTATATATAAATTAGGTACTGTATATATAATTATATATTAACTTAATTTATTGTAACTTTATTATAATTATATATATACTTTCTGCCGTCCAGCGCCACGCTACGGAGAGTTTAGGCGGGTAAATTGAGTTTACTATCGTCTGTACAGTATTATATATAAATTAGGTACTGTACATATA